AGGAGAATCCGCTAAAGGATCGGATAAACCTACGAGTTTCTGAGATGAATTCTTGTTTGTCTCCAACGAGTATTTTGGAGTCTTGAGGCCATATTCTTCTTCGATTGATTCTTTTCGTTTTTTTTCCCCCTCAATTTTTTATGCCACCAACTTGTTATTTCTAGAAAAGTGAGTTTTGAAAAACTAGTATTCCGGGACAATAACTCTTTGTTCTTGCATGGATAATTTCCCCCGACTTCGTTTAAACCAAAAAAACTAAAGAGATATATGCAACTCACAATGTCAAGCTACAAGATGAAAAGCCTCTTGAAAGGGCTCCGTTACATTTCTCAAGTATTTGGTATGTATTCGAACTCGGTTTTGAAATACCATGTATGATGCTATAGCACGTAAAAAGTTTGCATGCATAGTAATTACATTTGTGTTGATTAAAGGTGAATAAAGATTGTAATATATATTTTATTGTGTTGGTTAAAACTATCGTAGAAAGTGCAAAAGAAGAAGAAATACAAATCGGAAATCCAACGGACGTAAAACATGTTGCTCATATTGGTTGGGATGGACCATCGGCTGATGCCACCGCGCCAAGTTGGGTATGTATTTACTACCATTTTGATTTTGTTAACATGCATTATGCGCGACATTTACTACTTTTTGCTCTCATATTTTAAGGAAACTCGTAATTTTATTTAATTTTTATATTTGAAAGATGAACGAGTTCAAATCCGGTGGCGAATTCGAATCTGGTCAAGGAGGTGGAGAAGATGATGCCTCCGTGAAATGTATGTCGGAATGTGGCGGTCGGGCTAGAGATTTACCAAAACTACCAAAATCTACTAGGAAATCATCATCGGAGAAAGGTTCTCCCACAAAGGAAAGATCATCGGAAAAAACCAAACGCCGGTCTTCGAACAAAGGCACATCATCGTCATCGAGAAGACCAAAGGAAGGTTCTGAACAAGACGAATTTTCTTCATGGTCTGGTCTCAGTACAGGATTACCGGAAGTTCCAAAGAAATCAAGGAGGAAGAAGAAGACGAAAGATGCCATTAATGGAGGATCAACGAGATCAACAAGGAGATCCGAAGTCGATAACATGTCGGATTATATGTCTGAGACTGGTTCGGTGAGATCTATGCCTCAATTCGACAACAGAGATGATTTTTGAAAGGAGACAGACTTTACTACAACTCAACACGGCTAAGTTTCATTGAACATACCAATATTAGATTTTAGCGTTCTTTCTTGTGTACTAGTCTGCAAAACCTGTAATTTTTCTAAGGAGTTTTTCTTTTTATAACAGGAGAATTTTAACCAAACCTATCAAAACCCGAATATTTTTGAGTTGGTTATGTACAAAGAGATGCTGATAATTCAGATTTAAGATTTTCATTGAATCACACAAAAAAGGAGACCCGTTCATTATTGAACTCTTTCACCAATTATATCCGCAACAATATGCGATTGCGTCAACCATAAAATGGTTGAGATCCATAGAAAAAAAACCAAAAAAGTTTTTTTGTATTTAGAGAGATAAGGAAGAGAGATTAATTAGCTAATGCTTTTACCGCTTTCTCGGCTGCATCATCCAAATCATCAGCTGTTATGAGTTTCATTCCACTTTCCTTGAGGATTCTCTTTCCCTGTTCGACATTTGTACCTTCTAGACGAACTATCACTGGAACTTTCAGTGACACCTATATTGTGGTTTCACAAAAAAACTCAGTCAAGTTTCATGATAAGAAGAGTATTAATTAGTATATACCAATTTACCAAATATGCTTCGTTTTCTCACCTCTTTTGCAGCATTCACAATTCCACTAGCAATCACGTCACATTTCATTATACCGCCGAATATGTTCACCAAGATTGCTTTCACTTTCTCGTCAGATGTCAGAATCTTAAACGCCTCCACCACCTAAATTTGTTTTTTGGTCAAAATCTTCTGTTAAACCCGTTTAAATCTACAAGTTTCATAGCCAGAAACTATGAAGAAAATAGTTTTACCTGGTGTTCAGAAGCGTTTCCACCAACATCAAGGAAATTGGCAGGAGTACCACCATGCAATTTAATGATGTCCATGGTTGCCATGGCCAGTCCAGCACCATTCACCATGCAACCAATCTCTCCATCTAAACCGATGTAGTTCAGGTCAACTTTTGCAGCAGCCACCTATTAAAAGCAAACACACTTTACTTTATCAAGCTTGATAATAGAGGTCGAAGAAGAAGAAAATAGTAACCTTTCTGCTTTCGTTAACATTAAGTATACACAGAAGAGTATTACTTGTTAACAACCTAAAAACTAACAGACCAATAACGACTAAACCAACTATTCTATTCAACACTCAAAATATCCTTTACCATTTTCTTTGGTTAAACATCCATAAATTCAACATAACATATATTATTACTTGACGAAAAAAGTATGGTGCAAGAGACAGAGAATGGACCAGACCTCTCGTGGATCTTCCTGTGTTGGATCACGAAGGGCGAAAACCTCTTTCTGTCGGAAAGCAGCGTTATCATCGAAGTTCAATTTGGCATCAGCAGCTACCAATTGATTAGCGGATGTCTCCGCGAGGGGGTTGATCTAACAGAGAAAGTTAAGGGTTCAACAAAAGATATTGAACAGAAAGGAGAGTATATAAAAAAGATACACAGGAGAACTCACTTCCAACATTGTGCAGTCAGTCTTGCGGAAGAGTTCATATAGCTTCTTCACTTGTTCAATGGAATCTTTTCTGTCAGCAGCTTTGGGAGCAAGACCATCAACAACCTTGGCAGCATCTTCGTCAGTAATCCCTGCAAATACATCAATCGGTACCTACAGAAAAACCATGAACTGAGGGTCAAAAAGGTACACAGCAATAAAACACCCACATGAAGCAAGGATCTCAGAAGGAAATTTTTTACTAATCAAATACGAACCGAGCAGTCACAACCTTAATAATCATGTCAGGAAACTTCTCAGCAAGATCTTCAATGCTGGTACCACCCTTTTTGCATGCAATTATCAACTGAAACAAGCAAAGAAAGCATTATAGATATTGCTGGCAGGTGTGAACAACATCATGCCTATAAGTAGACAAAAACGGATAGCAATTAATTCTTTGAGTAGCATACCGGTCCAGCAGATTTACGGTCCAGAATTATGGAAAAGTACATCTCATTGACGAGTGACAATTTCTCACACAAGTAAACCTGCTCAAAATCAACATACCGAGAAGTTAACAGCCGAGCAAAACAAATGAATAAATAGAAACGCTAAAGCAGTCACAAGAATTATGAGCTTCATGAATAACCGATTACAAACCTTGCTAACTACTTTGCCCTGAGGACCAGTTTGTTTGGTGACAAGTACTTGTCCTAACATCTTTCCTACAATGATAAAAATCAGAACTGGATCAATAAATCCCGAGACGACGCAAAAAAAGCCACACTAGAAGAAGGCCATAAACAAGAAAACCCTGCACAATACCAGCAATATCTTCAGCCTGATCACGTTTAACAATGTGAACACCACCCTTAAGACCACTCTTGAATGTTCCAAGACCTCTTCCACCAGCCAAAATCTGGCTCTTAACAACCAACTGTATCACACAAAAAGAGTACTCTTCCATAAGGCAACTACTAACATAGTAAAATTGCAATAAAGCTAAACTCTTGATTCAGAACAAGTCCCTGAAAAAGGTTCTGTATATAAAATTACCTCGCTTTCATTAGGGAAAACGTCTTGGATAGCTTTTTTAACTTCATCCAACGAAGAAACAGCGACTCCTTTAGGCACATTAACTCCATATTTCCCCATCAACTCAGCACCCTTGCATCAATCGAAACAAACAACACTCAATTACATGTTCTTAAACCAAGACGATTCGATGAAGACAAGCTAGTGCTTACATTCAAAATAGACTCAATACAACGCAATCCTAGCTTCAGTTATCGCTTAATACCGTAAATCAATCCCCAAAAACAACAGATCCTACTCGAAATTCGGATGCGCACACACTTGAAAAGCGAATCTACGCAACTGTGGAGGATATAAGGAAGTTGAGAAATCGGAAATTGAAGAGAAGAACCTGATATTCGTGGATGTTGAGACGGCGAAGCTGTTGCTGCTGCCATTTACCGGCGACGGAGAGAGATCTCGAGACGAGCTTGTTCACCAATCCTCTCATCTTTTGGATTTGTGTCTACGAAAAAATCGATCGCGCAAGAGACGAGGAAAATGAGAAAAATATAAGAGAGAATAGTCGCAGCTTGGATCGAGTCTTAACCCTAATATTCGCCGGCTAAATTAATACGGACCAAAAATATTTTGTAGTACCAAAAACCTTTTTATCATTTTGTATTTATTGAAAATGGACCCTAAAATACACAAAATTGACAATTTCTCTTTTTAAAAATGTGTCGTTTTGATCCGACCAAAACAATAAAAAATGTCGTTTTGATTATTATTCTTTTGGTTATAAAATGATATAAATTTAATACTATAATTTTGATAAATTTCTCTTTTTTTGGGAGTTTTAACGTATATATTTTATTTCTCATCCCCTTGTGATTTTTCTCTAAAGAAGGATCATTTTGAGCTGTTACACAGAGTGGATATGAGAAAGATACAAACTACAAAGAGAGTAAGTAAAAATCTCAAACGGTAGAGGTGTGTAGATGGTTAATTAATTAGTGTGATGATCAGTGGATTTTTTTTTTTTTGCTAAAAATGATCAGTGAAATTTCCTGAACCAATTGAGAATCCTTTGTCTCTATCTCGGATCGTTGATTTGGCACGGTTTAGAAAAACAAGTATGGCTAGTTTGCTTCTCATGAATTGTTGAATGTTTTTGATTATTTGAATAGAAGATTTCGTTTAGGCATAATGAAGTCTTGCATTTCGTTTATAGAAAATGGTATGTAACAAAAGTTTACAAATAATATTCGATGTTGGCTTCTTTCGTTGGAGATG